CCCTGGGGCGTCGCCTTGTCTCCACTCGGTCCTGGGGCTCTCAGCACACAGGTGTCCCCTGGTCACCTTCCGCCTCCGCCCCATGTGTGAGACCAGGCTTCGGCCCCCTGGCCTGCAGGGGTGTGACCCTGGCCTCCCCCTCTGGCTGGTGAGGCCGCTCCGCTGGCCAGGGTGCATGGCGGCGCCGTTCCAGCCTCACAGCCTGGCTCCTGGCCGACCGAGCAGCCCGACGGCACCGCAGGCATCGTTCTCCCGCGCTGAGCCACGCACTATGAGCCTGTCTTCCCCTTCTCTTCCAGGCCTACGCCCGCTTCACTGGCGCGCCGCTCAAAGTTCACAAGGTCACCAACCCGTGGCGGAGTCCCTCAGGTACAGGGCCGGCGAGAACGGGTGAGGGATCGAAAGAAACCAGGGGCGCCCGCTGGTCCTAGACAGGATTCCCTGCGGCCGCCCAAGAGAGATTCCCATGCTGCCCAGTGCTTTAGCAGAGTGCCCCGGCTAGGTTTGTCTGTCTGTTGGTGGTGCACATTTGCACGTGCCTCGGTGCATGTAACAAAATGTATTCTGCACACCGGTGGCAAAATTCCGCACCCGGGTGCAAAAAGATTAGAAGGAACATTGGTCCTTGCTTCCCCGGAGCCAGCTCGGCTGCACTGTTTTCTCTACCGCTCCTCTCTCCTGCCTTCGCCGCCCTAAGTCTGGGTTTGTCTGTCTGTTGGTGGTGCACATTTGCACGTGCCTCGGTGCATGTAACAAAATGTATTCTGCACACCGGTGGCAAAATTCCGCACCCGGGTGCAAAAAGATTAGAAGGAACATTGGTCCTTGCTTCCCCGGAGCCAGCTCGGCTGCACTGTTTTCTCTACCGCTCCTCTCTCCTGCCTTCGCCGCCCTAAGTCTGGGGGGACACGCTCCCTGTCAGAGCAGCCCAGGGCGGGGGGGGAGAGCAAACAGGGAAACGCCGGGGCCCCGGGGAACCAGGGTCTCTTGCAACTCCCGGGCGACGCCTGCGCCCTGTTGGGGCTGCTCGCGCTGTGCAGGAGCCCGGGGCGGGGCGGCGGGTCCCCCCCGTATTCCCTGTCTCTGCTTCCAGGGTGTTTGCCAGCTCTGAGGACGAAGGAGGATGGTGTCCTCTCCCAGGTGCCACAGATCCTCACTCCC